AAGTGGACAGCGGGAAGTAGTCTGTGCAGGGCAGGGCAGGGTGATCGTAGGAAAGGAAAGCCCAGGCCAAAGGAAAGATGCACAGAACTAACCCAGCCTGGTGTGTTTCTAGGACAATAACGAGGCCAATGCTACTTCCTTTATTACACAAAGCAGACTGGATGAAGGATGACCCTGGGAAGGGAAATTAAGGTCTGACTGATCACAAAAGGTCTATGTGATGCCTCCACTGCCCACCACCATCAGAGGATGAGCCAGAGACTTAAACAGCTCCACACTGGAAAGCCAACTCTACGTTTTTGTTCCTGAATCTCTCTGATTCCCATAGTTTCATCTGTAAAAACAAAGAATTTTTTAAAGAATCTACTTTATAGAGTTGCTTTGGGACAAGTGCTAAGAACAAGGCTGAGCACATTTTATAGCCAACAAATCTTAATGATAGACTTTTGTTTTCTGTAATGATTATTGATAAGCCCCTATTTTAAGGCATAGCATAACTGTCACATTTTATTTTGGCTTGGATTTTTGTTTGTGCAATTTCTTTTGAGACAGAGCCTCCCTATATGGCCCGAAACGACGATGCTCCCCGTGCCACAGACTCCCAAGTGGTGAGACTACAAGCGTGGACTGACACACAGCTTTTAGCTTATTCTCTTAACTATCAAAACGCATTACACCAACTTGTTCCCAGGCTACTTTTTCCAAGCTGATTCTATAATCCCTTACCACAACAGCCACTTGGTGTACATGCCATGTACTGACAGCTGTGCCCTTCTCACCAGGACGTTGGGTCAACATCTGCAGCTGGAGAGGTACAGAGAGGAGGATTCCTGTTGCGCAGTGGCCACCTGGCCTGCTTAGCGAGCTCAAGGTTCATGGAGAGACCCTGCCTCAAAAGTAAAACAAGGTAGCTGGTGTTTCAGGAGCGACACCTGAGGTTGACTTCTGGCGTCTGCATGCATGTGCACACACATGTTCCTCGTTCGTGTGCATACACACAGACATTTTGACGTAGTGATACGTTCTCTGTCCCCTAAATTCCCTCATGGTAGCAACACTGTTGGTTCCTATCTCACAAGGAAGAGCCATAAAGGGATTCGGAGATTGGAACCAGGCCTCCACTGACCTCTAAGCTATCCTGTGTCCTGAGTCTCCATCAGTGGCTTGAGAACTCCACACAGCAATCACGGACATCCTTCTCTGATGGAAACAGCCTTCCACCCACCACCCCATTTTACTATCCTTCAAGGCTTTTAACAAACCCCATCTCCTCTCTGATTTCCCTCCTCCCACTTGAAGTATAAGTAGCAAGTTTTGTGAACTTCCCCGGTGGCCCTGGAATGGTGAAGAGGTGTGGCCAGTGTTCTGTGTGCACTTAGTTCCCTACAGCTCTCATGGAATTTTCACACCTCTTATTTCACAAGGTGGGAAAGGAAGCCTGAGGGTTGTTTGTCTCACCAGTGAGCTACAAGTAGGCCAGATTACAACCACATTCAGACATCCCAGTGTCTTCCCTCAGGCATGCTACCCCTCTTCAGAGCCTCAACATCCAGTTGGTTACATCCACATCCATTGAGGTTTGCTCCTCTTGTAGGAGTTCAGGAACCAAGATGCTTCATCTTTATCCATTTTTACAAGTTCCTCAAGGGAATGAAAGTCGAAGAAACAGGCAAGGATCCTGGAAAGATGTCGAAGCAATAAGAGCACTTGGTGCACTTGTGGAGGACCCTAGTTCAGTTCCCAGTACCCGATCCACACCACCTACAATTAAAGTGCCAGAGAATCCAACATCTTCTCCTGTCTTCTGTGGACACACGGTGTTGCACATGCATGCAGGCAAAACAACTATAATCACAAATCAAGAATAAGTAAATCCTTTTGAAAGACAGCGCAGATAAGGCCCTCACGGAACTGGCACTGATTGGTTAGTTTGGTTACAGTGTTATTGTTGGTACGATTTCAGGTATTAAGAATAAAGACTGACACAAAAGCCCTGGGTGGGGGCTCATTTCGAAGAGCAAATGGATTGAGTAATAAGCTTACAGAGACATAAGCACTCCTCTAGCTTAGCACAACCCACCATGTAAGCAATCTATCCAGAGGAGCAGGAGGACCATGGGCTTCCAGAATGAGGCTGGGTAGTCCACCACTATGTGAGACACTGGGGTGTCCGCTGCTTAGTTCATAGCCTCCATGGCTCTGCACTGCATGGCTGCTGTCTCCTAAGCTGTTTTACAACACTGCCATCAGAGAACTTGACCCACAGGTTCCGAGTGGGGGGGAGGCTGAATCAGAAAAACTGGGATCCAGCATGTGGAAGAGCATCTGGGCTGCAGGGTTGGAAACAGGGAGGTCCCCTCTTATGGATGGGACTTGATGGTGCTTCTGACTTGTTTATTCTTTGACTTGTCATTTGTCCCTAGTGAGAGGTCAGCTCTTACCAGCCTATGTAATTGGGCTCTGCGGGCCTGACCTATATAAGGTACACAGCAGTCACGCACTAGGTATTGACTAAGCGATTGCAAATACATGCCTATATGGACATCTCTGTGTGTATACATATAGATGATATTATCCCAGGTTCATCAACAAGTTTGTCTCTCTCTCCTCACAGAAACATTCGTTGTCTATGTGTGCACATGGCTGTGCATCTGTGAAGATGTCTAAGACCTAACAAAGGTATGTGGCCACCGAAGGACGGACTCTATAATGTCACAGAGACCTCTGACTCACCTGTCATCTATCACAAACACACACTCACACCCATCAACTAATAATGCAGATGTTTGAAAACTGAGAACTTTTATAAATACTCAGGTATTTATAAAAATATAAAATTTTATTATATAAATAAATATAAATTTATATTATAGATATAATATAAATAAAAAATTTATAAAAGTAAAATTTCTCAAGTATCTCTAAACTCTTTGTCTCTGATTAATTTAACCAGTTTGAGCAAGGAGGAAAGCATGGACAAACATGTCTATAAATGTGACAGGTGACATATTCAGAACTCCTCCAGGCAGGCCAGATGTCCTCTCTACAGTGGCAACATATGCAGGAAGTTAGAGTGTATGTTGACCACAGACTGGCCATTTTCTGGATTCACAAGTTACCAGACACTGTACCGGACATCGCTATTTAAACCAGAGCCCAACCCTGGGAAGAACTTTTTATTGTCAGCATCTTATCAATAAGAAAGTCAAGATTCCAAGAGCTGAGTAACTTGCTGAAGAGACTGTGCCCTGCTGTGACACAGGCATTGTGCAAACTCTAGACTCTTAGTGGAAGGTTAGAGTTGGAAGTGTTGCAATAAAGCTACCACTTCTCGCACACTTTGACAGGTGCTGACTTTGAAGGAAGTGTGCTTAGGCACACTTGATGGTGTATGGACTTTACTAAGTCATTCTCTGAATACAGAAAGTGAGTTAAAGGATGAAGACCCCACACACACGGGTTAAAGACAGTAACAAGCAAGCGCATCTCAGAGACCATTCTCCTGTGTTTATACACTATAAAACCCTTTGCACTTGACCGAGTCCACTCAAAGAAACCTATTTTCAACAAGGCGTGTGTGTGTGTGTGTGTGTGTGTGTGTGTGTATGTATGTATGTATGTATTCCTTCATGGCAAGTCAGTGTGACATTCTTAACTCACATCTATCCATTTCTCAAACAGAAAAATGCCTTCAGTCTGTAAGGAGCTGCTGGGTGGTGTGCATTCCACTTGCCTTAGAGCTCAAAGGCCAGCGGTGTGACAGTGAGAGCCAGTTCGTCTCTGACTTTCAAGGACAGTGGAATTATTTTCAGAACTACTAACAGAGTGAAGAAAGTGGTTGGGGGCTGAGAAAAAGATAGATCTTCCTCCTAAACCTAAAAGAAAATGTCAGCTGCCTTCATCTAGCTTCTGGAGGAACCATTTAACCTCTGACCTAAGGAGGAAAATTATTTATTTTTAAAAGATTTTACTTTAGCTCATAAGCCCAGTGGGAAAGGTTTCCATTGGCTCTTGCCTGTCCGTGAGCTCCTCCCTCAGACTATCAGATGAGGCCAGCGAGGCAACAGGGCACCAGGGGCTGAGGTGAGAAGGCTCTGTCCTCAGGTCATTCAGTCAGCTGGGCTGGTCAGTCGGTTCCCCCAACTTTCCGGTACTATGCACTCCGGGGTAGCCACCCAACCCCTGCTGCAACCTGTCTTCTGCTCCTTAAATGAACACCTCCCCCAAGAGGAGAAACTACTAGCTCTGTGCTGCCCCTACTTCAGACCTGGCCTTGAGTTTCATTTGTTTTCTGATTTTAAGCTCTTCCGTCACATGCATCTCTCAGAGTCTGATCTAAGAAAAAAAGAAGCCAGGCGCCTTGGAGCTTTGAAGTAGTAAAGATTTTAGTGTCTGCACTTCGTCTTAGGTAATGAATGACCTTGGGCTAGTAACTTGTTCTACCAAAAAAAAAATGATCAGAAGAGAAAATATATCATCAAAATGTTGTTGAAATTTCAACATGAAAGTCACGCGGTTCCGGCACGTAGTAGGTGGTGGTTTCGCACTCCGGACTCTATGGCACACTGCACAAAGCCGGGGCAGAGGACAGATGGGTCACATGGCTGGTTTTCAGGTTTTCCTGACTTGCCTATCATTCCTGCGCGTTTGATTTGTTACCATTTGCCCTCCGAACGCCTATTAACCTATTTCCAGCTTACTTCTTAGCACCAAACATCTGCGGAGTCCAAGAAATAAATTCTCTGAAAGTACCAGGGATTAAGTTGTTGCCCTTCCCACCAGAGCTGGGCCAATTGCAATGGAACGTGGACTCGAAGATAACACATGCAAAGGTGCCTGATACACCTCTTGGGGTAAGGAATGGGACAGAGACCCTGACTTAAGTTGCTAGGTTGGGCATGGCGCAGAGGGAGCAGGAGAGGGAAGCCTCACAGATGACCCTGTTCTCTGCACACTAGTTGGAAGAGATGCTGGAGGGAGCAATGGCCAGTAATAGGTACCTGAAGACCCTAGCGGCAGTCTGGTTCCTCCTCCAAGCTGTGCGCTGTGCCAGCACTCCTTGTATGATCTCCTTCTCGTTGGGTAGCCGGTAGACAGGGAAGACGTAGAGCCAACAGAGTACCACCACACAGAGGGCACTGGCTCCCACGGGTAGCCGGGTACGCGGGAACTTCCATGCCAGTATGGCCATTGCCCCTCTGGATGTGTGTAGCCGGGCCCGCCCGCAGGGGCCCATCACAGTCTCAGAGTCCCAGAGTCGGTGGTGGGAGCCTCAGCACAAAGCCAGGCGAAGTGGCAGGGGAGGCTGCCCCCACGGCCGGTCCCCCATGCACACACACCTTTGGCTTTCTTGTACGCACTGCTGGGGAACCCCCCACCACGGTCCCAAAGGTCAGATACAAGGATCTTCTCCAATGCAACTTTTCCCACCGATTTCTTGCTAGAGGAAGTGGCCCCCGGGTAAGTCACGAGCCATGGTCGTTTTCCCTGCAGAGGCGAGTGCTGGAGGGGTCTGGACGAGAGCAGTGGGGTTGGCTGCTACCGCCCTTACAGTCGCCCTCGGCTGAGGTCCTGAAAGAGGTGCGGATGGCTCCGGGACATCTGACCCACTGTGTCCCTTCCAGAGAGAGATGCTCTTGCGCCCTGCACCGCCCTTTCCCCGCCTCCTGCGCCGCCGCGGTGCGGTGCCCGGCACCCCTCAGACGTGCTCTCCCAGCCGCTCCAAGTCCTTGGAAATTTCCACGGCGGCGGCCCGGGGACCGCTACCCAGCCCTCAGTGCTTCGGTCTTGCCCGCCGCCGGGACCCTCGCTCCGCTCCCCTCCAGGGCAGGCTGAGAACTCGCTCTCATCAGTTCATTCAGAGTCGCACCGCAGCCTTCCGCTGCGCCCTGGACTCCGCAGACACGCGCCCCTGGATTGGTGGAAATCAAGGTCTCCCCCACCCTCCCCCACCCACGAAATTGCCTCTCGCGACCGGCTTGGGGCCGCAACACTAGCCCAGGGCGCAGGCCCCTCGCCGCTGCCCTTGTTCTCTGCCGAGAGAGGCAGACAATAAGAACAACGGCCCCTCTGGTGCATGCATGCACACACACACACATATATCTATTCTGGAGTGTGCCCAAACTGGGGACCCCCACCCTGCTTGCCCGGGATGCTGTCACCTTCGCCTTTCTGCAACTGATTGGTTATAAACCAGCAGCGAGGAGGCTGGAGAAGATTTATTCCTTCCTGAGCTCCCTTAACCAGATCAGCCCGTCCGCAAGCTATGATTCCAGGCACGCACGCGCATACACACACACACACACACACACACACACACAGAGAGAGAGAGAGAGAGAGAGAGAGAGAGAGAGAGAGAGAGAGAGAGAGAGAGAGATGAAATGCAGGCAGGCACGAGGGAGGTGCGTGCACACCAGGGTCCGCCACCTTGCCTCAGCCCTGCAGAGAGCAGAGCTGCATCCACACGTGCAAGTGGTTGATGTCCCAAGCAGCAGACCTTGGGGGAGAGAACGGCTCCCCTGCCTCTGTAGATTAAAGAGCTGTTTATTCTTAAAAGACTGCAGTGGCAAGCTTATCACAACTACGACCTTGGAAAAGTGCCACCCGCCTGGACCCGCCTAGCCCTAGCGGAGGGACTCACTGTAAGCCATTTCTGCTCGCCCAAGCAGAAGACAAAAAAGCTCGGTACCTCCTAGCGGCTGCCTATTCTATTTGCTTAAGCATCCTGTACAAGGACAAAGAAGAAAGTCTGCAGCCTCCAAAACCAGCCAGCTTAGTCATCACCAAGCCAAAATCCCAGACCATGGTTCCATTTGTTCAGCTGTGAGCAGCATTCTGGTCCATACCGACTACTTTGTGCCCTGCTGTCTTCTTCTAGCACCTTTTAGCACAGAGACGTGAAACTTGAGACGTTGGTGCAGTTATTTACCAAACACGGTGGCTGTCAATCTACCAACACCATTATGCTTTTCTCAGGAGAACCCGAGCAGGCAGCCCCCAGAGCAGAACCTAGTATGGATGAGTTAAAATAAAGATTGCCCTTGCTGCTGGAAAGAGGCTCCTAAGACAGAAGCCTGCGGCTCTTGTGCAGGACCTGGTTCAGTTCCCAGCTTACACTGTGGGCAGCTACCAGTTCAGTTCTGAGAGATGTGGTAGGCTCTGGGACACCTACATACATTTGCATACCTCCACACGGTCACAGCTACATAATTCAAAAATAAAATGAGGGCCGGGTGGTGGTGGTGGCACATGCCTTTATTCCCAGCACTCTGGAGGCAGAGGCAGGCGGATCTCTGGGAGTTCGAGGCCAGCCTGGTCCGTAAGAGCTAGTTCTAGGACAGGTTCCAAAGCTACAGAAAACCCTGTCTCATAAATTTATTTTACAAAAATAAAATAAAATGAGGATTCCTCCCCCACTGAATTGTAGGAAAGAAGACAAGAGGGGGACGTGTCCCACCTTTCAAGGGTTGTTGATGTATCATCTACCACTTTCCCTTCCTATAATTTAAACAATGCACAAACGATCCCAACTTCTCTTTTTCCAGCTCCCCATAGAGCTGAAGAGTAAAGGAAATACTAACGAGCAACGGCTCACAGAGGTGTCAGGAGGACCGCTGAAATGTATCATATTTAGTAGCACCTTGCAACGTGAACGCATTGTGCTGTTGTCTCTTCCTTGGCTTTCTCTTTTCCTACCTGCAGTCAGATTTGATTTGATTTCACTCCTTGGTTCTCAGCAGCAATAACGATGGCCTTGGCGGTCATGCCTTTAGTTCTCCGCCTCTTCAATGTGCCATGTCTGTCAGGGTGTGATGACCACAGACTTGAGTATGCTTGTCCCCCTCCTGACAAATCTATTGACTCATGTAAGGTTGAGTGGCCATTAAATTCTCCCCCAACAATGTGGCAGCCCCAGACCACCCAAAACACCAGCTTTCGAGCCAACGAGATGGTTCAGTGGGTGAAAGCACTTAGACGGAGAAAGTTGGTTGCTGAAATGTGCCCTCTGACCTCCACATTCACGCCATGGCAAGCTCACACACACACATTCATCATACACACATATGCAATAATAATAATAATAATAACAACAATAAAATGAAATAAAATAAGGCAGGCTTTGCAGTAGACGTGCTCAATGAGTATTTTTGATTTCTGTTCCCGTTTCCTTTGACCTACTCTGAATATTTCTAGAATTTTCTGATTCTGATAAATGATTAGGCACTCAGTTGAGTTTTTCTGTTGTAAGCATTTTCCATGCAGAACTCTCCCTCAGTCTCCGGGCAGTGAGACTGTTTGCTTGTTTCGCGTTGGAAGTCGCCAAGCTGTGTTTACACGACTGGGGAGAGCAGGGAAGACGGTGTTCATTCTTCATGTTTGCCCAACTGCCAACTCCAGCCTAATCCCAGGCCAACTCAAGAAATGTCTGTTTCTTGAGTCAATAAAATGTCCAGCCTCAAAAATGTCCAGTCAAGGACAGAGGAGAGGGTGCCTGAATCGGCCGTGGCCCATAACCATACTGATGTGTATTTTGCTTATCACCATAGATCCTTCGTCTGGCGAAGGACGGCGATGCAGTCGGAGACCCACATTGGAGCACCGGACTGAGCCCCCCGAGGTCCAAATGAGGAGCAGAAGGAGGAAGAACATGAAAAACGAAATTAGGACTGCGAGGGATGCTGTCACCCACTGATACGGGGGAACGGATCTAATGAGAGTTTGCCGGGGCCAGTTGGACTGGGACTGAACGAGGACGTGATCTAGCCAGATTCTCGGAATTTGGCCGGATTCTCTGACTGTGGCTGGCCCGAAGTCTTTCTGAAGGGCCATTGACTATGATACTGGGACCTGTTTCCTCTGCATATGCTGGATTTGGGGGATCCAGTCTGTTTGGACGCTCACCTTCCTGGACCTGGAGGGAGGGGGAGGGAACTGGGGCTTCCCACGGGGCAGGAAACCCTGACTGCCCTGGGGGATGGAGGGGGAGGAGGAGGGGGGG